CCCCCCCCCCCGCATCCTCCTTCTGTTCTAAAATGTGATTTGTCCTTTTCATATGTGTTCACTTTTTTTTAATTGTATCCTTTGGTATATATGGCTGTGACTATTTTCTTCCACTATTTGATCTGAGGAAGTGGGTCGGGCCCACGAAAGCTCATCATCTAATAAACCATCTTGTTAGTCTTTAAAGTGCTACATAGTCTTGTATTTTGTTTCATTTAGCATGGACACTCTAATTGACAATTTCTTTCCCCCTTTTTTAAATTCTTTTTCCTGAGGAAAAAGAGGATACACAGAGCTCTGCCACATAATAAACAGTATTTGTAAATACATCTGACGAAGTGGGTCTTTGCCCACGAAAGCTTATGCTCCTACACTTCAGTTAGTCTATAAGGTGCCACAAGACTCCTCGTCGCTTTTGCAGATTCAGACTAACACGGCTACCCCTCTGATACTAGTATTTGTAAATGTTGTTTTACAAACATTAACCCATATTGCCTGACTTTGGAGAATGTCTATATCTAGTAGAATGCTGGTAAGAGAATATCAGGGAAGTCATAATGTTTAAATAGTGGGTATGGGAGAATGTAATGATTTAAATTACATACCTAGGCATGCAGGCACATTGCAACCTCAGTTATTCTTAAATACTGTGAATTCTAAGGGTGTGTCTACATTACAGCGTTATTTTGAAATATCTAATTTCAAAATAGTTATTTTGAAATATCTTATTTCGAAATAATGCATCTATACACAAAATGCATTTCAAAATAGCTTTTTGCAATTTCAAAATAGTGTGTCAACACTGATTGGATGCTGAATTACATTTAAGTCTAGCTGGAACTGGTTCTAGCAGGGCATCAGGTCAGAAGTTACCTTGTGGCCAGGGCGGCCAGCAGGACACCCTGGGAAGAGCTGGAGGCCCCCTATGTAAAAATAAGCATCTACACAGCACTTATTTCGAAATAGCAATTTCAAAATTGGTGCTGTTCCTCATGGAATAAGTCCTCATGAGACCTCCGCTATTTCGAATTAATTTTGAAATAGCAGTTGGCTTGTGTAGATACTAGGAAAGTTATTTTGAAATAACAGCTGTTATTTTAAAATAACTTTGGTGTGTAGACATACCCTAAACAACAGGCGTTGCAGTGAATAGTTTTGAATGTAATGGGGCTGTTCATGTGCTTACACATAATGCTGGCTAACATATATTGATAGATTGGGCCATTGGCCCCCTAACCCAGCCATCTGATCCATGTTTGCAGACCCTGCATATATGTGGCATTCTAAAGGCCCCTCCCTGTGATGCATGTATATGGAAAATGCCACACAAACCTGTATGTCTGACTAACAAAACCAGCAACCCAGTCATGAAAAATGTCTATGCCTTTGGCCAATCAAGTGTATATTCAATGTTGTGCAGCTGGGTACACTTTACCAGTGCCCTTTGAGGGGGCTACCCAACTTCCATCTCCCACCCCGCCCAGTGTCTGAGCCACGCGGCCCTGATCCCCAGAGCAGCCAGCCGCCCACCACATAGCCTCGTCTCCAACCCCCAGAAGCAGCTGCCTGCCCACCCACCATGTGGCCATGGCCTCAATCTTTGGCGGCAGACATGGCCGCCAGCAGCAGCCACCCACCTGCCCACCACTCAGACGTGGCCCCAGCTTCAGCCCAGAGGAAGGGTTGGAGCTGGAGCTGGGGCCACATAGTGGCTGCCTGGCTGCTCTTGCTGGAACAGGAGCCCAGTCTGCACTGTGGCTACTACTGGGGCCAGGCCGAGCTGCGGTGCAGCTGTCCCAGTGGCCACGGCCCCAGGAGCAGCTACATTACAGCCACGGGGTCGTCCATGCAATCTGCCCTGGGAGCAGCCAAACAGCCACCAATCAGCCCTAACCTCACCTCCACCCATGGGGAGGTGGGGACTGCAGAGAGCTGCCTGACTAAGCCTCCTCTCGCCCACCATCATAGAATCATAGGGCTGGAAGAGACCTCAGGAGAGCATCAAGTCCAGCCCCCTGCCAAGGCAGGACCAATCCCAACTATATCAACCCAGCTGACTGGGTTTGTCAAGTGGAGACTTAAACACCTCTAGAGACGGAGATTCCACCCCCTTCCTAGGGAACCCATCCCAGTGCTTCACCACCCTCCTAGTGAAATCGTTTTTCCTATTGTCCAACCTAGACCTCTCCCACTGTAACTTGAGACCATTGCTCCTTGTTCTGCCATCCATCACTATTATGAACAGCCATTCCCCATCCTCTTTGGAACCTCCCTTCAGGAAGTTGAAGGCTGCTATCAAATCCCCCCTCACTCTCCTCTTCTGAAGACTAAACAAACCCAAATCCCTCAGCCTCGCCTCATAGGTCATGTGCTCCAGCCCCCTAATCATGTTGGTTGCCCTCGGCTGGACCCTCTACAATGCGTCCACATCCCTTCTATACTGGGGGGCCCAGAACTGGACACAATACTCCTGATGTGGCCTCACCAGAGCCGAATAAAGGAGAATAATCACTTCTCTAGATCTGCTGGCAATGCTCGTCCTAATGCAACCATCATCCGCAGCAGCAGCTTACCTGCCTCCACTAGCACACTGCTGCATGATTCTACTTAGAAAATGGGCAGGAATAAAATTCCCTGTGCACACCAGTGCAAGCGTGAACCCTAGAGGGAACTTAGGGAGCCAGCGTAAATGCCAGCTCCCCACTTGCACCAGCTCCTGCCTCCTCCCCACCTCTCATACAGAGGCAGTGGGGGCAGGGGAGCTGCATGTCACCATTAGAATTAACTGTGTAAACAGGTACACCTTCACATTCCTAAATCTGCCAATCTCCAGTAGTTTAAAGAGGTACCGGGATATGGCAGTTAAGATGCTCCTCCTGCTGCTCTTTCAGAAGCTAACCAGTCCAAACCCTTTCAGTCTTCTACCAGAGGGCAAATAATATGTGCAAATGAGTATTTAGCAGTGTTAAACTGTGTTCTTGTGTGCTGAGGCTGCTCAGGAGAGAGTCAAATGCCACACAGCTGATTATCAGAGTGCCCACAGCTAGGTTTTTTGTTTTTACTGGTGGTGCATATTTACACATACTTTGGTGCACAAAAGTATTCTGCACATGGATGGAAAAGATTAGAGGAAACATTACTACTTGGTGCAAATAACTGTGTGATATAACTGCTGCAAATAACTAATGCAAATAATAAATGCAGATCAGAAAAAAGTGCAAATAATTGGGGAGAGTAAGTTGTGAAAGTACATTATTGGTACAAATAACTAGTGCAAAATTCTTTGAATAATTGGTGCAAATAATGACTAGGACAAACAATTTGTGCAAATAGTTGATTAGTGGAAGTGATTGATGCAAAAACAAATTAGTGTGAATGATGGGTACACATAAGGACTAAAGGGTGCAGATAACTGCAAATAGATCATTAGTGAACATAATTAAGAAATGAAAATATGACACTATAAACAAACTAATAGCTTAGCCAGTGTTGGGTACCTGCAATGCAGAGAGTGCATGTTTCCACCCAAGGGTCCAGCCCTGATTAAATTGAGGCAGATAGCAGCCAACTTGACAGAGGGATAATATTCTAGAGCAGTATTTCTCAGCCAGTGATATGAGTACTCTTACGGGGTACTTGAGAGAGGTCTGGGGGGGGGGGTACATCAACACAACTGACATTTGGAGAAAACTGAATTTTTGTTTTAAGTTTTACAGTACTTTATTATTTTTGTACTTTTTACACCCAAAAAGTCATCACCCGCCCAGCTATGATTAAGTTGTTTAAACAAATGTGTTGCAATGTAGAAAAAAAAATTGTGTGTGTGAAAACTGTAGGTGCTGGGGGTACTTATTATTTTTTTAAAGGGGTGCTTTATAAAAAAAGATTGAGAAACACTGTTCTAGAGGTCCCATATGTCCACAGTTATAGGCCCCATGCTACCCCATGTGTGGTGCTAGCCTTCCTGGCTGAGTTGCCTGGAGAACCAGGGATGAACAGAGAATCTAAGCATCATGCTTCATTGCATACCTCACCAAAATCACAATCCAGGCCTCTGTGGCTTAACATCCTCTTTTGTTGGAGTGAGTCTTTGATTTGGAATATGTGAAACAAGCAATTCAGTTCCTCTATGGAGTGAAAAACTGATCCAAGAGAAGCCACTGCCCAAAGCACTGGGCTCATATAAGAGGCTAGTCAGAAATGGAGATTAGTGGGTGGTAGATTTGGTGGTGGTGGGGAACTGACTGCAAAGGAGGGGAGAGGAGGAGAGGGGGGTTGGGAAAAGACAAACTGTAAGCAAAGAAAAGGACTTCCTTCTGGGCTAAGGCAAACAGGACTCTATGTCCTTTATAAACAGGATTGAATCTGATGCCATCCTCAATTTCTCCCCCTGATAGACATAACCCACAGCACCCTGAATATTGGCTAATTTGGTCAGCTAGAAAAGACTGCAAGACGTCATGAGTCCTTTTTTATTAGCTCTGAAACCAGACAACATTTCTGGGGGACTCCTATTCCCCTTTTCGAGCTTTTCTCCACAATGATGGGGCTAAAAATTGCCTTTATATTTAAACTAGGGGGTAAGGCTGGAGTGAATACATACATGCTTAGAGTGTCAGTGCACTACCCTAACTGGTCACTGAGTGGCCGTCAGTCTACGCTGCTCCTTTCGCTTAAGAGGCCCCTGAGAAATGGGTAGGCTGCCGGTTATGTGGCGCTACCGAGAGGGAATGGTGGATGTAGGTTAAAGCAGGGGGTACTGAGAGCCAGCGCTCCTGGATTCTTTCCCGGACTCAGAGTGGGACGGGAAGTGTAGTGGTTAGAATGGGGCAGGGTGAGCTGGGAGCGAGAATCAATTGCCCCAGGCCCATCCAGCAGTTGGTGACATGGGCAAAAGATGAATGGGTCTGTAGGTGGGTCTCACTTTTAGGAGTTGGAGAAAGGACCAGGTCAGCAGCTCTTTGACGCAGCCCCTAAGAGCAGGGACAGCAGCAGGGCGGGACCCCCCGCAGTGCCCACGGAAAGGTGGGGGCTGGAGGTGCCGGGATCTGTCCATTGGGGCCCAGCCCACACAGGGATCTGTGTGTGGAGGAGAGGGGCTGGTGCAGTTTCCCCCCCTCATTTGGGTTGCTGGACCTGGGTGGGGGTTTATGGACGAGAGCCAGGCAAACCTAAAAGCCCTCTGCCGAGAGCTGGCACCTGAGAGCCCTGCTCCTAGTTAGTTCCAGGCGCCCCCCATGCTGTATTGCGCGCCCTGAGACCCCTCCCCAGAGCGGGGCTAGAGTCCGTGCGTCCTGGGATCCTTCCCCAGGGCTGGGCGTTGCCCGCTCCTGGACCGCTCCCCGGGGCTGGGCTCCGTGAGCCCGGGGACCCCTCCCCGAGGCGGGACTGTGGGCGGTGCCGCTCGGAGCCCTGCGCGCTGCTCTCCACAGCCGAGGCT